CATTATACACACGCAAGGATGCGGAAATGTTGCTCTTCCACAATTCATATCCCGACAAAACCACAAAATGGCAAAGATAAATTTCAGAACAAACAAATTACAATTTCTGTTGCAACAATCAACCATAGACGATGATAGAAAGAGGGTGAGGGTGATAAATAAAGGCCTGCTTAAGCATTCACATATTACCACCATAAAATGCGATAAATATTAGCATTAAAGTGCAATTACTCGCCACTAATTTTAAATATTTGCAGTAATATTTCGAGAGCATAATTCTTGTTTTTGTGTGCAGCTAGTTTAAAGTAAATTTCATAATCGATACCATTGCAGTAACATACAAACGGCAATAATGTTTGCACTAACTACAAAAAAGACAAAAAAATAGATAAGGTCAAATATAACATATCAACATGGCAGTTACATATGAAAGAACAGCAAATATGACGCACATGTAAAAGTTAATTAAAATCGCATTTATTCTTATGTGTATCTTTACTTTTTATATAAAATAAAAATACCCGTAATTTACAATTTTTAAATCGCTTAATATTTACCGGTACCATCACGGCTTTGAAGTTTTCCACATATTTTATATAGGAAAATATATTTTTCCTTATAAAATCGTTAAAAACAAATATTTTTGATCGAATAAAAATAATAAAATGAATTGTGGTACAAATTTAACTTTAAAATTTTATTAAACATTTTCCTAAACGAGCGTGAGGTGTTTAGGTACACATAAAACAATTTTTTTTTTGTGTATAAGAGATTAAATTATTGGTTCTATAAAAGTAGTTAGTAAAATTTTAAAGTTAAATTTGGACCGTAATTGTATTGCTTGCAGATTTTTAATTCTAATTTTTGGTATTCTTCAGTTCTCGGGGATGGCTGGAAGTTTTGGATCACCCGAATGTATATGTATACAATACCAAATAGCAAACACACAATTGACAGCTCTGACAGTTGCCATTTTGAAGGTAGTGATGATGAATTGAAATACGGCGTTTTCCTTACACCTGCAGCCGGATTCCAACTTTCGCCATAGTTAAATGAATTTTAGCAATTTTTAGCGATTTTCACGATTCTATGTTACTTCTGCAAGAAATTCTTCACTTAGCAGCATTATTTCCATCACTTTACGGATTTTCATCTGAAATTTCTTTAAAGAATCGAAGTGTGCACAGTTTATTTCATTTTAAAAAGTTCGGTAAAAAAGTCGGACGAGATCTTTACGAATTTCTTAAAATTTCTCTACAGTTTAGAATACTCTGAAAAAATGGTTTGCAGGGATGATTCGAAATTCATAAATTAAAAAACAAAAATATCTGTTATTAAATTATTGAGGAGATATTCCTATCTAAAATTAAATTTTCACTTAACGTTTCGTTATTACCAAACTCTCCACTGTTATTAGTTGCATATATAAAGAATGCTAATGCTGCTTTGTGACACATTTACCAAAACGTTTTGCTCCAATGACCGCTCACCATGAGAAAAAAATCTCGAAGTTGGATCGATTGTATTTTCTCAAGGATTTGGGAAGGCTGTTCATCAATGGTCTTTGCAAATCGGCTCGAATGTCTTTGTAAAATACTCATGGTTACGTTACAGGAGAAAAAATTTAATTTAAATTGAGACTACTATTTTTTGTTATCCCATATGTACATTCATTCTCGCTATTTATTACCATGGAAAAGCAAAAAACATGATATACATAATGTACAAAAATATGCAACGTAAGCCAAAGTTTAAATTTCACTCTAAAATCTTCTTCAATTAACGGGAATACGAATTTTCCATTAAATTATCACTGTATGCTTAACACTGGGAATTGCAAAGAAAATTATTAATTTTTTTGGGTATTCTAATGAAAATTTGTCTCTTCTTAACTTTTCAGTGCAAATATTGATTTTATTTCGAAACAGTCTTGTTTTTACTGAACCCATTTTTGCAATCAAACCTATTGACAGGATAATTGAATCTTTATGCAATTGCAATATAAAAGTGGTACTTTTAAGCAACTATTTTTTCAGTTTTTTTCACTAGAAATCTATATCTAAAATGACGAATTTAGAAATGGTTCGGAACCATAGAAAAAGGGATGCAGAACGAACTAGATCCTATTTGTCGAATTTAGAACTATTTCGGAACTATCGAATAAGGGATGCAGCGGGGGCTTGTTTACTTTACATAGATATGTGTTCGGCAGCTTTTTCGTTCAAATACGCTTATATTCTGTGCTTCGCAGATGCTTTTTCATAGCTTGGTAATACAAAAATAAAATTTGTGTTAACATTTCAACATCTTGGGACCGTCTGGAATCTAAGAAATAACAGCGAGCACCTCTGCAAACTCAGCTACAGCTAAAGGTATGTAAACGTACATTTCTTACAATTATTCAAACAAATCTAATTTCAAATTAAAAACACTTTTCTTCCAAAATAACTTAAAATCGCACACACGGAAGAACCAAAAAGATTGAAAAATCATGATACTTTTTTCTTTCGTCTGTCGACAATTGACACTTCCTAGGACATCGCCATGTTAAATTCGCCAGTTGCTTGCATGCAAAAGAGATTTATCGCGAACCAGTACTGGGTCGAATATACTAGAAGCGCCCCAGTTCAGAACTAGAGATTTTCCCCACAGGGTAATTCTGTTAACTTGCTATTTGCGTTGTCGTTTCTATCTTTTAGCATGTGAAAGCTGAGCAGTAAATGCATAAATTCTCACTTCTCGTACAATACGAAAATACCTCCGCGGGAAGACCTCCGACTCTAACATCTTTGGTCGAGAGTTCAAATCGGGGTGGAGGCAATTGTTAGTTTTCAGATTTAATACATGTAAATTGTTGCGTGCTGCTTCAAAATTGAAGAGAAAACAATAACATTCAAAAAAAAACAACTAAAATAATAAAGTAAAAAAATGTAAAATAAAATGGAATCTGTAAGAGAAAGGAACAAACGAAAAATATCCCAAAATAGAATCTTAGACATTTTTTCTCATGGAATACTAACTTTTCCCGATCCGTGCAAAATAGAACCAGTTCGGAACGAGTTCAAAATTTCTGCAGAGGAGATCAATTGCCACTTCGTTGGACATAGCCATGTTAAAAACGCCAGTTGAAAGCATTGATTTGGGGATAGTTACACGAACAACCAGTTGCGTCCCTTTTCAAGCTAGTTTGGCACGTGTTCTTAATCAGTTCGATTTCCTGCAGGACTAGTACACAAATATGTATGTATGTGTGCATACATATAATATCCTACTTCTAGGCCTTTTCGATTTCAATTCAACTCAATTAATGCGTTGCCAATTAGTGAAACGGTCACTGTGAATCGAATCATGTAGGCAAAGAATTGGCAGGAAATGTAGATATTGACGAATATATTTAAGTATAATGCAAGAAAAAAGGTAATATACACATTAAAGTTTTGTGGTGATCACAAGCTAACTATAAATTTGACATTTTTTGCGATGGAAATAATGTATTTTCAGCTGGCTGCTCCTCCAATGGGGTTATGCAAAAAACTCTAACCGCCTTAAAATTCATAGACACATACCGTCGACGCCACGGTAAAAGTTGCTTTTAGTAAAATTTTACAGCAGAGCGACGTTAAGTAATAACTACGCACCACCTTGAAGGTTTGAAAATAGCCTTGCGTTATCCTTTGTTTACTTTACTTATTGACCTTAAAAAAATATATTTGTTTCGCTAAAATTTAAGTAATAAATGAAAGATGGTAGTAATAAAATAAAAATAGAGCAATTAGAGTTAGCAGTTTTTATAGTAAATCAAAATCTGCTGTGAACATTACTGTGTACAGTATTTGTTTACTGTTCCAGTATTTGTTGTTTGTAATAAGCAATTCCACCGCTAACAAAGAACTCGCCTTGGCCATTTTTTGTAGACGTTGGGGGCTTTTTGTTAGCACTGAATCCGAATAGCTAGGAACGTAGCATATATGTATGTATGTATTTTGGATATATAAACTCACGCTCCTATAAATTCAGGATTCAATGATAGATTCACGAAAATTTGACTCCGATTAATTCAGCAATAGCCCCATCGGCGTAGCCAGAATGAAATTTAGGGGGGGCTCGACCCTATTAAGCTGGCATTTCAGGGTACTATTTTATATATATATAAGGAAAATTTGAAAGTTAGGGGGGGGTGGGGCTCGAGCACCCCCTGCCCCTACCTGGATACGCCCATGAATAGCCCTGACTGTCTTTATAGGCGCTATGGACGAGTATCACATATAGTTGGGGGAGTACTTTGTACATATATGTACATGTCATTTAATTTTTTTTTAAGTAATTGATTCAATGCTGAAAATGCGGCGCATATTGCAATCTCCAATCCAGCCAACCTGCCAATAGGCAAATTGGATTTTCACCTTCTGAAAGGCGGCTGCAAAAGCTGTTCAACTTTGTGTTTGATGCAACTGACGGCTACTTTGTATGTATGTATGTGAATATTTATTGGAAGTTCTGTTTAAAATGCAAGTTGACCGTGTGCAGAAGCAGCATAAAAACTCGTATTTTTTGTGTTAACAAGAATTTAAAAAAAGGCACCTTGGAAAAATTGTTTGCTATAGTAGTGTATGTATATTCATTGATTCCAATCTAGAAAAGAAGCAAACTTTAAGAAAATCCATATATTCAACTTCAACTAAGTCATCGTCAATATTATCATGCACAAATCCTTAAAAGTTGAAGTGACCCCTATGGGAGCCACTTATTACACTTATTACTTTGATGGGCAACTGAATGTGTTTTAAAACCCCAACTAAGTTAAATAGAAGAGTTTTATTACAAAAACATGGCTAAATCAGCTCGTCGTGCTGATATTTCACTTATTTATTGATATAACTTTTTTAAGAATCAGTCCCTTTTTTTTGGTACATACATACACTGGACCAAAGTTAAAATATCCACGAAAGGTATAAAAAGTTATTGTCTTTATATGTATGTGTATAAAAACAGCTGCTTACCCGAAAAATGATGGCCTCGCGTTCCGCTTGTGTTACTTTACCGAAAATGTTATTCATGATTTCTAAGAACTTGTCACGCGGCAACGAAGTCGCCTCATCCTTGTCAAAATAATCGATAAAATCGTAAAGCAGAAAGTAAGTGCCTGCAAAAGATGTAAAAGGTAATGAAGATTTTATTGTTATTTTTGAAATGCTTTTCAGGATTTTAAATACAAGTATGTACTTAACTTAATATATACACATAAACATTCCTATAATTGAAGTTGTGAATATGTTAATAAGTATGTTAGTAGTATATTAAAATAAAAACGATTTACAAATTCTGCAGTAGTATCGCTTTCTTTGGACATTCTTTGTAATAAATGCCTATGCGCTACCACTCGCAAGGTTGGTCCTAAAAACTCGCATCATCCATATCATTTATAAAAAATTTGAATAAAATTTTTTTGTTAAAAAAATATTGTAATTTTTTTAATTTTGTACTCATTCGATTAATGAACAAATTATATACCAATCGAAAGTATTAAGCCTATGAAATGTGAAAACGTTGGGTTATATATTTTTGCCCTGGCCTACCTATCGGGTTGGCAGGTATGAACAGGTAGGTAATACTAGTAACTTTCACTCATCTGTTTAACACATTCTAAAGGCTTTATGCCTTCGATTGGTATATTTATAATTTGTTCATTAAACAAATGAGTGCAAAATTAAAAAAAATATAATAACTTTTGTTTTACTAACTGAAAATATGCTGGGCAGGATTTTTTTCAGCCAACCAGTTAAACTCCATGCAAAGTAGATTTCATCCATTAAACTGTTGGGTGAAAATAGTGCCCTTGTCGGAATTATTTCGAAATTTCAGTTTTGTGGGAAAACGCAATCAAAGTTTGATCAACTCATACAGTTAGTACACCAAAAGAAAAACAGACGGCAAGCCGCATATCTTGGCCACTTTTGGGAAGTTTATTCATATGTTAGGTTAAACATATTCTACTTATCAATCTTATTAATTGTATGATGAAATCTCCAAAATCGTAAATTGTGAGTTACATCTCTATATTATTAAACGTGCGATATATTGCGGAACGATTTTCCGTCACACCTTGTCCAACCCTAAATATACAATACAAGTTAAAATCTAATTATCCAGTATGTCATATTTAGTTGTACATTCTTAATAAACTAAATAAATTTAAAACCATTTACAGTTATTTTCTCTCTTTCGAATTTTGCAAAACTTCCAAGATTCAGTATCGAGAAAATCAAGGTACCTATTCAGAGGGACCCGTTGTAGATATGCATAGCACTTGGGAGAGTAGACGTCATTGAAAATTAAAGTTATTGTCCCAATGCACGCTTGCTTTGCTTACTTCGCTTTGAGAACTGTCAGAAAATTATTGAACATAACAACAATGTATGAAAGTTGGCCAGGTGACAGCTTGACTTCACTTGCTTGAAGGTGTCGAATAACCAAAATCTCGATTTAATAGCGCTTTGTGCGCGCTTAATGTATTCAAAAGAAATTCTGATAACTTTTTTGCTTTAGGGTGGCCCAAAAAAGTTTAAATGTTAAGCACTCGCCCACTAGGATTTTTTGATTGAAAAAAGAGTACCTGTATTTTTTTGATAAAAAAATTAATTTATAACTTCACACATAATACATAATTCGATTGGAAAATCATATTTCTCTTCAGGTAACTTCCTGTAATGATACCCAAATATTTATTTTACCTTTCTACTAACGATTTTTTATGGGTCAACCCATTGCATTTTTTGAGGATATTGGGTACCTATAAAAAATAGTACAAAATAGTAGTAGAGTTTTCTGTTCGGAAAATATTGATCTTCAAGAGTTCTATATCATTTTTGCGAACAAGTGTTTTTCCCATATAAAATACATGGAGAACTTCAAGGGCTTTGGGGCAGTTCTAAATATCATTTTTATTAAAGCAAAAAATAAGACTATTCTTTTTTTACATTTAATTTTTCTAAATTCTAGCAATTGAGAGCTTAACATTTTAAACTGTTTTCTCCCCGCATGCATTGTTGGACCATGCCAATGTACATTCACACAAACCTACGTGTAAATAAATGACATAATTAAAAAAAATAAAATCGCGATAACTGCAAGGACATAAATCGGAGTAAAATAAAAATTATTCCTTGTTTACATATTTTCCATTCGGAGGTTTGCTATTGCCTGCGGCGGCGGCAGTTTTCTAAATTTTTTGCGATGCTGCTTTGACCACGGCTTGAACTCAAGCCCTGCGCAGTGGAAAGTCGCACTGCTTACCACTAGTAATATATTCTATATGTAAATGTATGAACTACACATTTAATAATTCTGTTATTAACAACGCGAAAAAATATTAAGCCGGTTGTAACTTTAAATGTTTTTTTTTTTTGTTCACATTTTTCGAGTGTACACGTGAGAACGAATATGATAGATGTGTAATGTCAGCATCGAAAGCTATGAAGAAAAGCAACACCAAAAATCGAGCATTTTCAAAAACAATCACTTCAAAGTGTAACAACAGTAAAATCTTAATAAGAATCGCCTATGGGGTACTTCACTCAATGGCAACAACGGCAACAATAAACAAAAACAAAAACAAAGAATAAAGCCAAAGTACATAGTAAATAACTAAGCGAGTAAGTGAGTGGGGAAAATGCATGTCAAGGGTACGAGTATAGCAAGCGAGATTAACCGCAACAAGCAGACGCACCCCGATATACATATGTACGATACATACAGATGTACTACATACATATGAATTCGTTAATACACCGCACGCAGTAAGAAATTAAACCGTATGTCCAAGGACTAGTTCTTTTGCATTACTTTCACGATTTTCTTAAGTTGAATTTGGGAGGTAATTAATCATAAAGTTCAGTTTACAATTTGTAAAAAAGAAGGAAATTACTCTGAGAAAAATAAAATTTGTATTGGCACATGAACATTGTAACATATATTCCAAATATATGGCTATTCACAAGGTGTCATAAATTTTTAAACATTCAAAACACTCTTGCAGTTGCCATGAACCATCCAAAAATGTGTCTACTCCAGGGCTTCGGAGCGGAGCGAAGCAAAAGAATAGGGAGCTAAGGAGCAAAGAATTTTAGCTGGAGCGGAGCTAGAATAAAGAGGTAAAAAAAAAAACATTAGCTCCTTAGATCCTTAAATAATAATCTTCAGTTAATAATTTTGCTTAGTTTTGTTATTTTCGTCACTGTAAACTACCGCGCTAAATAAATTTCCATTCCATTTATTTTACCTGACAATTTTGTTCATTGCACAATCACCAACAGTCAAGGATAATAGCCACATGAAGTTGAACGGCGATGTATATGCATATCGTTACCTTAATATAGAAAGGCCCTATCTCACATCATCGCAGAAAAGCAAAAAAGACGTAAATAACTAAATTTTTTGTATTGCATAAAACGAAGGGGGACTTATAATTCGATGAAATTCAGCATAATCAATCAAAAATTTAATTTTGGATTTTTTCGTTAGTTACGGCTTTCTGTATTTCAGAGACGTTGTGAGATAAGGTCCTCTATATTAATGTATCCATAAAAGTACATACATACATTGATACATTTAATTTCTGTTTGGATGCAGGGGTGATCCTAGAGCATCTAGATGCCTTTCTGCATCAAAAAGGGAATTGAAAAAAAAGTTCGCCTACGTTTTTTTGGCGGTTAGGGCTCGATATGTAAGTAAGTACGTAAATAAATAAATAAAAAAGTGGATTATTGGGAGCGGAGTTAGAGCGTAGCGATAAAAAAAATCCTTTGCTCCGAAGCCCTGGTTTACTCTTTATAAAATGTATAGTAATATAACAATATGAAAAGTTTTGATACCTTTTGAATCACCCAATTATAAATATATACTATAAACGAATTAAGGGAATGAAAGTGTTCAAACCAATTGCAGTCCTTAACTACTCCAGCTGATACATAACAAAGTGTTTGCCCCTATGTAATCGTCATTTAAATATACCAGTACCACTTATAAATGAAGACCAATTAGAACTAATATGATAATACTTTCGCCAATCAGAACTAATCTGAAAAAAGTGTAATTTACAGCAAAGTTGCTTTGCTTGCATGCGTTTGCAACCATTACAATACCAACCCTACAACGATAAACAATGTCAAGAGCAGCAAGTCAAGTCAAGCAGCGTCAACGGCAACGACATCAGAAAAACAAAACAATAACATTTACAACAACTATTAGAGGAATAACAACAGCAGACACTTTATTAACAACATTACATTGGCAGGATCATTATAAAAACAAAAACAATAAGTATTGCAGCAACGACAGCCTGCAAACAAACACCCCTGTAGGCCGCCAGGTAGTTCAAATTATTAATGCTTTCCACCTCACTTTTCATCTGCGAGCATAACAACTTACATGACCTCGCATGAATGACTTGGTGTAGTACAAAAAGCAATACAGTGAAATCGTTCGTATTCCATCGGGCGTCTATGCTAACACAAATGTTTTTTCACACTGATGGTAGAGCTGGAAAACTATCGATGGCACTATCTGGTTTCTGACTATCGAAAACATCGATGGTTTTGTTAGCACTATCGATAGTTTTCACTCATACATACATTGTTCAGTAACATACATATTTCAGAGCGCAGATGCTGCTTGAAACCTTAAAAAAATATCGTCATATTTTAGCAATTCTGATCTTATTTTCAATAAAAGTTGTTATGTTTAATTTTTGGACTGTTTTAATCAAAACTATCGATAAAACTATCGATAGTGTCGATATTTTCGATAGTATCGATACTATCGATGATTGTGACTATCGACTATCGATGGCCACGAGATCTGATACACAGCCTCTACAACTTCATATACTGAGTACATAGCTGCTTACTACCTAAAATTGTTATCTACTCGCTTCGTATCAATTTATTTCTTCGGCTTCTCCCACTTTACACTTTAGTTAGTTGCAAATTCAGCTACTCAAAATGCACCTGACTAGGCACTACATTTTTGTAGTAACTGCGATAAAACTAGCAAAAGTATAAATTAGTAACTGCGATAAAACTAGCAAAAACATAAATTCTTACATGAACACCTAACAAAATGGCCTAGTGGGACATATGCGCAGCT